CTCTATAAGCAAAAGAGGAAATGCAAATCTTAGGTGCTTCTCTGAACTAGTCTGGTCAACCTCTGGCTTCTTGAGTGAGTGGGCTGCTTCTAATCCTACCACTTTGCCTTTGTTCAGACTTTGCTGCAGGTGAGTTTCAAAATATCCTGTCTTGAATGGATTTCTGCCTGCAGCATTTGCTTTGCTTATGAATAGAGCTCTCTAGATGCTTGTCTTCCTCTTTCAATAAGCTCTTTAACTCTTAAGTGCTGGCATTAGCAGTGGGCTATTAAGAAAGACTTGGGGGGTGCTTTCTGCCTCTAAAAACATGTTTTTCCATTTGGGGTAATATTCTGCCTTTTTAATATTCCCTAAAATATTTCATTCTTGTTTGGCAGGGTGGGGAGGGCTTCCCATAAAACCCACATGAACTACTAGTTCTTGCTTATTCCTAAAACATACATGGAAAAATTCAAAAGCGCTGGGTTTTTTTTCCTGCAAGCTGAATCTAATCCAGATGAACTTCAAAATAAATTCAAAATAAAAACCCTGCTAGAAGAAGAGGTGCGTGGAATGGAACGTGCAGAAATAAGTAGATTGACATTGGCAATTAGAGAGCAAGAAGAAAAAGAATATTATAAAATATTATAAAATATGGGATTTATTTTATCAATGGCTAGATAAGAAAATAGACAAATAAAATATACTATAATATAGATATAATAGTAAAGATGATACATTGTAATGATATATTTGATTCTTGTGAAATGATATTATGAACTAGACATTGTAAAAATTGAGATTTGCTCAAAAAGGATATGAATTTACAATCAAAGTCTAATAATGGTTTGATAACAATATAATATGATGTGGATAGCTGATTTATATAATATGAATTTTAATTTAAGTTTAGAAGGGATAGACTGTTAATATTGTGCACAAGAGATGTGTATCAACCCACACACTGTATAATGGAAAGACTGTTTTATCCGATGTTTTGTGTTTGTGTTTGTCTATGTTTGTCATCAAAATAAAACAAATTCTTTAAAAACAAAATTCAAAATAAGGCAATTTCTCCTGATGAAGATGAAGCAAAATTCAAAGCTGTGAAAAAAAGGATGCAAAGTAGGTTTGGTTTAAAATGACTGGGTTTATTTGCACCCCATGGCCAGAGAGCTTAATATGCGGCATGTGGATAACTAAGGGTGAATAACCCAAGGGATTTGGATTTAATGACCATATTTCGTTGTTCTCAGGTTCTGAGTACAATGACAATAAATTTATCTTAATAACCCTGTTGGAAAGAGTTAAAAGTTGCCTTTTGCAAATCAATGGCCTGCCCCCTCAGGCTCCAAGAAAATGAGTGGGAGGGAAAGAGCGCCTTGGGAAGGCAAGCCCCTCCAGCACAGAACTCACTGCCCCAGCAGCGGAAGCCCCCCCAAGCCCCGATTGGCTGTTAAGGCCAGGCCTTGCCCACTCCTACGTGCGCCGCCAATGAGAACGGGAGCTGATCAAGCGCTGCCCGGCCTCTTCCGGCCAAAAGGGCCGCAATGTGGGAGAGGTTGGGCTGACGGCGGTCAGCGTTAACCTTAATAATAATTTACAATAATAATAATACTCAATAAAACCTTTTCATACATTTTATTATTTTAACCAATAAATAGAGCGGAAGCCTGCATATATGAAAGCGGCTAAGGTCGAGTAAACGCCGAACGAAGCCTGCTTAAAGAAGCGGGAAGCCAACGCCTCCAATTGAAGGAGTCGCGGCCTCCGTCGCCTCAGCCGCAAGGCGGGCTCTTAGCAACGGCGCCGAGCCCCGCCCTCTTAAAGGGGCGCGTCCTCCGTCGCCCTCCGACGCTTCTTCCTCTTCCGTTTCCCCCCCACCTCCAGCGGGTGACGTCAGGGAGCCTGCCGGCCTGCGCGTGACGTCAGATCCCGGGCGAGGCGGGCGGGGCCGGGCGGAACGGCGGAGCCGCTGAGGTAACGGGAGGCGCGGGCGGGCGAGGCGAGAGGCCCCAAACCGAGGCGGGGGCTCCCCGCTCGGCCTTTCCCCTTCCCCCGCCTTGGCCGAGGGCTGCGGTGTTTCATGCCCATTGCGCCCCCTCTTCACTCGCCTCGTGGAGGGGGGTGGGAAAAGAGAGGGTCTGTGGGGGGCGGGTGAGGGGGGGGGTCGTGGGCCTACCCGGCCTGGCTTCCCGTAACTAACCCGGTTAGTGGGCCTGGGTGGGGTGGGGGACACGGAAAGGATGGGGAGGGCCTGCCTCACGTCGCCCCCCGCCGCATTTCAGCCTCCCAATGCGGGGAAGGGGCCTGCCTCCCCCCTCCCAATAAAGTGGCTGACCCCCCCCCACTTATGGGTTGAGGGGAGGCTGCGTGGAGGCTTCTCCCCCCCCCCACCCATTGCCCCCTAAGGCGCCGCTTATGGGGAGTGGTCTGCCTCCCCCGCCCCCCCCCCGGCCCCGCTATCCCCGCCTTTCTTTTTTGGGGGTGGGGGTGGGGTCGGGGTCCTGCCCTGGGGAGGGGTCTTCCCTGCCCCCAAGCTACTCCCAAGGGGGGTGTCACCCAGGGGGGGTGGGGGGGTCCTTCTCCAGGCTGCCCTGCCTGCAGAAAAGGGGAGGGGGGTGGGGGGGGGGGGGCACTGCTTTTTTTTAAAAAAAATAATAATTTATTTTATGAAACGTATTTCCACCCTTCCTTTCAATGACTTTCACGTGCAGAGGTGTCTCTACTTGGGGGGGGGGGGGGGGGGGGAGAAGAAGGTGTTGCTTCCCCCCCCCCCCCCCCGCATTGTTTTCTTCAATTCCCACCCTGCCTTTCAGGGAGTTGCTCTGGGCATGTGCAGAGA